CAATACAGCCGATTGCTGAGGTTCCATCGGTGTGATGGCTAATCTTGGCTGTCAGCCTGACTACATCTGGAATCAGCTGAAACCCCAGCAACTGGGAATGCTGTGAGGAGTTTTCTTGTTTAGATGCTCAGGGGTGAGAAGCCAGGCATATCACAGAAAAGGACATGAAGGAAGCTTTTTGCTTTCTGCCTGGCTGCCCTCACTCTCATTGACAAGTTCCTCTATCCTGCTGCTGAAGGCATCCCTTCCCCAGTATTAGAACTTACCTCTTCAGAATTCCATCGTAGACAGGACCAGCAGCTCCCTAAGAATCCTCCAGGACTCAGCACCAGGTTGAGACTGCTGAGATACAGTCTCATTGACTGAACAATGACCAGATTCTTGGACTTCCCATTGGGAGACAGTTATTGTTGGACTACTTGGAGCACAGCCTGTAATAAGTCATTCGACCAGTTATGGTCTTTAGAAGATCTTAATTAATCCAACCAAACGGTAAATCTGAGGGGGGAGGGGCTGGGGAGATAGCTTGCCTTGCAAATATGAGGACCTAAGTTTTGATGCTTAAAACCCAGTTAGTTTTATGCCTGTAAAATTCACTGTAGTAGGTTCTTCATGTGTCCATAGTTAAGACAAACAAACAAATCTAGAATAAAACAATAAGCCATGGAGATCTCAATACACTGATACAGTAAGGAAACCTTTTGAGATAATGATTTTTTTCAACATGGCAATTTCTCCGAAATTTCCAGATGTACCCACATCAAGAACAGCTTCTCCTCCTCCCTCCCCCCCCCATTTTCATTTCTTTTTGAGATTATAACAAAATCAAACTCTTCCTCCAAACTCTCCCCTCTGTACCTCTTTGCTTGATTTTGGACATGCCAAAGTGTGTGGTGGACAGCCCATGAGGTCTCAAACCTACACGTGAACAGCTTGTTTTTATACACACATATCCCATATGGTGCAATCATCCCATAGTGTTGGGCCGTAAGACAGATTCTTTCCTGAAAGGTCAAAGAAGACTGCTTTCAAAACAGGTCATTGTCAACACAGCTGTCTATAAACTATACACATATGACTGTCATTGGTCAGCTTCTCCTGTGGGTACATGAAACAAGGAACATGCTTCTACGAGGACAGGGTGGGTCGGTCCCAAGGACACAATTATGAAGGTCTGAGAAAGAAAGTGACCCACAGGGATGACCCTACAGAGATCCAGCAAGGCTGGTATTGAAAAGAATCTCACAGAATTCAGAAAGTAAGAGGCTCTGGCAAAAACACTCAGTGGAAGAGTATAACAGAGGGAAAGTACAAGAACTAAATGTACAATATACCCTCGGGTCAGAAGCCCTCTAAAGATGAACAAGAAATGCAAAGGATCTAGAGTAGGCAAGACAACCGTGAAAGAGTACCAAGTTAGAGCAGGAACCTGATTCTGTTGTCAAGAATTATAAAACCATGATAACTGAGACAGTGTGACATAAAACCAAACAACGGAATATAACAGATATCAGAAAGATAACCCTGCCTTATCTGGCCAATTGATGTTTACAGTTTCCAAAAACAACTTTTTAATAAACGGCTGTGGTAACTGAATTTCGACATGTAAAATGCTAACTTGATTTTTACCTCAACTTTATACGAAACAAAACCCGACAACCTCGAGGTGAAACATATACCTGATATAATAAAGGAAACTACAGAACAGACGAAAATACAAGGAAAATGCCTTGACTGGCGAAGGTTTCTTTTTAAAAATTATTTTTGATTTGCATTTTCCTGATGACTAAGGATGTTAAACATTTCTTTAATTGCTTCTCGGCCATTTGAGATTCCTCAGTTGAGAATTCTTTGTTTAGCTCTGTACTCCATTTTTTTTGTTGTTGTTGTTCTTGGTTTTGTTTTTTTGTTTTTTTCGAGACAGAGTTTCTCTGTGTAGTCCTGGCTGTCCTGGAACTCACTCTGTAGACCAGGCTGGCCTCGAACTTAGAAATCTGCCTGCCTCTGCCTCCCAAGTGCTGGGATTAAAGGCGTGCACCACCACCACCCGGCTGTACTCCATTTTTTAAATAGGGTTATTTTATTCTCTGGAGTCTAACTTCTTGAGTTCTTTGCATATTTTGGATGTTAGCCTCTATCAGATGTAGAGTTAGTTGGTAAAGATCTTTTCCCAAGCTGTTGGTTGCCATTTTGTCCTATTGACAGTGTCCTTTGCCTTACAGAAGCTTTTCAAGTTTATGAGATCCCATTTGTCAATTGTTGATCTTAGAACCTAAGCCATTTTCCCCTGTGGCCATGTGTTCAAGGCTCTTCCCCACTTTCTCTTCTGTTAGATTCAGTGTATCTGGTTTTATGTGGAGGTCCTTAATCCGCTTGGACTTGAGCTTTGTACAGGAGATAAGAATGGATCAATTTGCATTCTTCTACATGCTGACCACCAGTTGAACCAGCACTATTTGTTGAAAATGCTGTCTTTTTTCCACTGGATGGTTTTGGCTTCTTTGTCAAAGATCAAGTAACCATAGATGTGTGGGTTCAATTCTGGGTCTTCAATTCTATTCCATTGATCTTCCTGCCTGTCTCTGTACCAATACCATGCAGTTTTTATCACTATTGCTCTGTAGTGCAGCTTGAAGTCAGGGATGGTGATTTCCCCAGAAGTTCTTTTATTGTTAAACATTGTTTATGATACCCTAGGGTTTTTTTTTTTTGTTATTCCAGATGAATTTGAGAGATTCTATCTCACATGAATCAGAATGGCTAAGATCAAAAACTCAGGTGACAGCAGATGCTGGCAAGGATATGGAGAAAGAGGAACACTCATCTATTGTTGGTGGGACTGCAAGCTGAAAAAACCACTTTGGAAATCAATCTGGTGGTTCCAGAGAAAATCAGAAATAATTCTACCTGAAGACTCAGCCATACCACCACTGGGCATATACCCAAAAGATGCTCCAACATATAACAAGGACACATGCTCCACTATGTTCATAGCAGCCTTATTTATAATAGCCAGAAGCTGGAACGAACCCAGATGTCCTTCAACAGAAATACGGATACAGAAAATGTGGTACATTTACACAATGGAGTACTACTCAGCTATTAAAAACAATGAATTCATGAAATTCGTAGGGAAATTGATGGAACTAGAATATATCATCCTTGAGTGAGGTAACCCAGATACAAAAGAACACACATGGTATGTACTCACTGGTAAGTGTGTATTAGCCTCAAAACTCAGAATACCCATGTTACAACTCACAAACCATATGGAGCTTAAGAAGAAGGAAGACCAAATTGTGGATGCTTCAATCCTACATAGAAGGGGGAACAAAATAATCACAAGAGATAGAGGGAGGGAGGGTTCTGGGAGGGAAAGGAGAGGGGGAGGGAGAAAAAAGGGGGGCAGGATCAGGTATTGGAAGGGACAGGAGAGAAGTACAGAGGGGTCAGGAAAGCAAATAAAAATGGAAATATGTAGCAGTGGGGGATGAGGAACTGTGGGTAGCTAGTAGAAAGTCCCAGATGCCAGGGAAGCAAGAGGCTCCCAGGACTCAATGGGGTTGACTTTAGCCGGAATACACAATGAAGAGGAGATACAACCTGTAGCGACCACCTCCAGCTGAGGGTTGGGGCCACCCACACATCTCAAAATTTTTAACCCAGAAATGTTCCTGTCCAAAGGAAAGACAGGGACAAAAAATGGAACAGAGACTAAAAGAAAGGCCATCCAGGGACTGCCTCATCTAGGAATCCATCTCATTTGCAGACACCAAACCCTGACACTATTGTTGATGCCAAGAAGCACTTGCTGACAGGAGCCTGGTATGGCTGTTCCCTGAGAGGTTCTACCAGCACCTGACCACTACAGATGCAGATACAGTCAACCATTGGACTGAGTCCGGGTACCCCAATGGAAGAGCTAGGGGAAGGACTGAAGGAGTTGAAGGGGATGGCAACCCCATAGGAAGAACGGTATCAACTAACTGGACCACCCATAATTCCCAGAGACTAAACCACCAACCAAAGAGTATACATGGAGGGACCCATGGCTCTAGCTGCATATGTAGCAGAAGATGGCCTTATCTGACATCAATGGGAGGGGAGGCCCTTGGTCCTGTGGAGGTTTGATGCCCCAGTGTAGGGGGATACTAGAGTGGTCAGGCGGTAGTGGGTGAGTGGGTGGAGGAGCACCCTCATAGAGGCAAAGGGGAGGGAAGAAAGGGGAGATGGGATGGGGAGGCTGTGGAATGGTAACTGGATATCATTTCAAATGTAAATGAATAAGATTATTAATAAAATTATTTTTATGTGTATGGATACTTTGCCTTCATGTATATCTGCTGCATCAAATGCATGTTTGGTGCCCTCAGAGGGCAGACATCCCTAGTAGAGACTGGTGCCCTTCACTATGGAGAGTAAAGACCAGTATACTTGGAGTTGGTTTATGCCTTGCTTCCGTGTCACCTCCATCTGTCTGGAGCTAATGGTTATTTTTTTAAAGGTGAGAGGGTAGTTGGGTGAGGTTGTTCAACTGGTCAGGGAGCCTGCTGCTAAGACTCATAACCTCAGCTTGATCTCCAAGATCCACATGGTCAAAGGAGCAACTCTCTTTAAGCACTCTCTGACTCCCACAGGCTAGCCCTTACTAGCCTTACTGTGTTCCCCGATCCACACGAACACTCATAAAATAAACAGAATGTAATAAAAATTAGACTAAGACAAAAACCGGAGAAGAGGGTATTACATAATATACTGGCTACATATATATTAAACACAATTCCTGCTGTCAACACTTATTTTGGAAGGACTAAAAAAAAGTCCTCATTTACAGTTTTTAACAAGCATGTCAACAAGCTTGGCAGTGACCGGGGAACAAAGATGCAAGCTAGTGGCCGCCGCTAGGGGGCGCTCCATCACACCGCCTGTCGGTGTCGGGGTGCCCCACCCCCGCCGGCCACCAGGGGGCGCCGCTCGCAGCCAGGGAGCACCGGCGAGCGGCAGAGGCCGGCCGGGTGGCGGCCATGGACCGCTTCGTGTGGACCAGCGGCCTCCTGGAGATCAACGAGACCCTGGTGATCCAGCAGCGCGGGGTGCGCGTCTACGACGGCGAGGAGAAGGTAGGGCAGAGGCCGCCCCGCCCCGCGGGCCCTCGTGCTGGCCAGGGCCTCACCCTCGGCCCTGGGCTGCCGGCCTCGGCCCGCCGCTCTCGCTGCACGGTGGACGGCGGAGCCGGGGCGCGGGCGAGCCGAGGTCTCGGCGGGTCGGAGCCCGGGACAGCCCAGTTCCGCCTTGTGGCGAGCGCGCCACCGGAACGCGGTCCCCACCCTCCTGCTGGACCGGTGATGATTTGTTCTGGGGTGAGCCGGGGTCCCTCGCCCGAAAGGATTTCCGAAGGAGGCAGCCGGGTCCAGCCCCTTGGGGTTTTCTGTTTGCTTTGTAATGACTTTAGGAAGTGGGCTCCAGGCTTCGTTTGTTCTATGAAGTAATGCAGTTAAGCCCTTGCCTTGGAATGTAGGCTTAAATCTTTAAGAGCCAATGCTCGCAGAGAAAACGCCGAATGCAAGTATTCTGTACCTGGAAACCGCTTGCCATCTTGTTCTGAATTAAATGTACGACTTGAAATCAGGAGTGGGAAAAGAGCTCGAGACCCCCCAAAGCACGTTTAGTTTCCAGTTCTCACTTACGGCATTCCGCCTTCCTTGCTGCTGTGGAGATGAAGCCTCCCTCTGTAGTTTGAGTAACACTTATTCCTGATCAATACTTACAGCTAATCCAGGTCCCCTGATTTAGGGTGTTTTCCTGCGGACTGTGCTCCTGTTGCTTTTGAGGCAAGCTCTTATGTGGGACTGCTTCCATAAAGTTTGATTTACTTTTTAAGTAAACTTACATTGTTCTAGGTTTGAGTAGTACATATAAACCAGCCTAACTAGTCTGTCAGGTTGAGATAATAATTCACCGGAGACCCCAAAAGGGAACGCCTGAACAATCTCCACTACAGCAACACCCTTTCACGCTTCCTCTTGCTCCTTGACACAGCCGTGGTGTACACTCTGGTTTGAGCTTTAAATGTATAGCCTAAGCTTTGATTTCAAGAGGAGAAAACGCAATGGTTCTTAGCCAGAACTGTTTGGTCTAAGGGAACATCATCCATTTTCTTTCTTTCTCTTTCTTTCTTTCTTTCTTTCTTTCTTTCTTTCTTTCTTTCTTTCTTTCTTTCTTTTTTCTATTTTTTTTTTTTCGGTTTCTCTGTGTAGTCCTGGCTGTCCTGGGACTCACTCTGTAGACCAGGCTGGCCTCGAACTCAGAAATCCGCCTGCCTCTGCCTCCCAAGTGCTGGGTTTAAAGGCGTGTGCCACCACCGCCCGGCCATCCATTTTCAAGTTAGCATTTGTTTTGGAAATGTGAATTTTTAACTAATTAACGAAAAAAAAAAAAGAGATTCTTAAATTCAGTTGTTTGGTTTTGCATAAATCCGATTAGCCGAGACGTATAAAGTTCGGCCAGGTTACATGCTAGAAGTACTTGAGCATTACTTCTTTTTATTTTAAACATTTTCTTGCCTGTGGATTCCTGTCATGAGTTCCTGACCCTGACATCCTTTCAAGATGGAGTATAAACTGTAAATGGAAAGAAAACCCTTTCCTCCCCAAGTTTCTTTTGGTCTTGGTGTGTATCACAGCAGCACGAACCTAAGTGGGAAAATACCCTTCACGGAGTGCATTTAAGCTGATGGTAGATCTTATCCTTAGAAAAGAATGTTTAAGAAATGTGTATCAAAGTGTCAGTTATTTGTTCTATGTGGGTTTTAGAAGGCGTGTTCCTGTGTAGTCTTGGTTTAACATAAAAAGTGCATATATTTCAGCGTTGCATGAAGTTACATGTGTCAGTGACAAGTTCCTTTGCTTTTTTTTTCCAGACAAATATTGGTTAAGTACAAGTTTTAAAAAAAAAAAGTAAGAAAGAAAAAGAAAGAAATTTGAGATAATCATGAGCTCCACTACCCAGAAGACTTTTGGCATAGTACATAGGTTTGATATAAGCGTGATATGTGAAAAAAAGTACTTTTTAGTGTAATAAAATATCATGGATACCTTACAGTGTTGTTAGCAGAATACATAATTTAACTTCTATTTAAGAATATCCAAAACAGATGCAGATGGATCTCTGTGAGTTCGAGGCCAGCCTGATCTATAGCGTACTTTAGAACAGCCAGGACTACACAGAGAAAGCCTGCCTCAAAAAAACCAGGGTGATGGGGATGAAACAAGGCTGAAAAAGTGGCTCAGTCAGGGAACCTGCCAACAGCAACCTGAGTTTGATCCCCAGGTCTCAGATGCTGGGAGAACCAGTTCCTGAAAGTTGTCCCAACTTTTGGATGTGTGCTACAGCACACGTATCCACATAGATATGTATAACAAACATACAAATATATGTAGTATAAAATGTTCATGGGTTTATAGAATGATGCTTAATAAGGCCCCTAGTAATTACCTATTTAATACGTTTTTTTTTTCCTGTTTAAGAATTTCTTACATCCATATAATGTACTGATTAGATTCCCTCCCCAACTATTCTTTCCCTCTTCTCATTATCACTTTTTCCTCATTTCATGTTCTCTTCTGTCAGCATGTGTATGGTTGAAGGCCATCCACTGGGCTGTAGGCCATCCACTGGGGCTGTAGGGTCATCCACTGGGGCTGTAGGGTCATCC